ATGTAATATGTAATATAGTACCTCAACACATGATCAAACAGCCAAGGAAATGAATAAGGATTTAGAGGATTTGAAATATACAGTTTACCAGTTTCATGTTATGGCCATTTATACAATTCTTCATTCAATGACTAAAGAATATACATTCTGATTCAAGAACACATGAATGATTTATAGAACATGACCACTTACTACACCACAAAGGAATTCTGAATATAAACCAAATCAGTATCTTAGAGAAGGAGTTATTTGACCAACATAAAATTAGAAACCAAATAGCAACCACAAAAATCACCTACACATTTAAAAATTTTAAAACCACTTCCAAATAACTGAAGGAGTATAGAAGACACCACAATGGAAATAAAAAGTATCTAGAACTGAAAAATAATGAACATAATATATATCAAACTTATGAGAAGTAGCTAAAGGCATTTTTAGAGGAAAAATCATAGCCTTGAATGCATATTTAATAAATGTTGACATTAATCTTCCAAGTATTCAACTCAGGTAATTAGAAAAATATCAACCAACAAAACACTAAAACATCAGGAAGAAAGAGATAATAAAGATAAAAGCAGATTTTTTCTCTGAATTAAACATTTTGCAAATTACATTTGTAATTAAACCTAAATACCTTTTGGTGTGACATGTCTTATTTTCTGTGAACTTTTGTCACTGCTTTATCTTAGCTCAGGCAAATGCATCACTGCAAAATGCCATCCCTTGCTCCATTTCATTAATAATGCTTAACATATGTGTACTTCTTTTGCAAAGGGAAGGTTTTATGAAGCAGTTTATTGATCGCCAGCAACAGGACACTTGCTGCCTCTTAGGAAGCCCATCATAGGGGCTCTATCCTCATGACCTCATCTGAACCTAATTGCCTTCCAAAGGCTCCTCTCCTAATATCATCACACTGGGGTTAGGGCTTCAACATATGAATTTTGGGGGGACACAAACATTCAGTCAATAACACACAGCACTGTAGGGAAGAAGCCAAGGTTAGTTGCAGGGCATCACATGTTTCTGGGAACAGGCAAACACCCTCTTCCCTCTACACTAAAGAAAAATATCCAGGGGACTTCCCTGGCGGTCCACTGGTTAAGACTCCACGCTCCCAATGCAGGGGGCCCAGGTTCGATCCCTGGTCAGGGAACTAAGATCCCACATACCGCATCTAAGCCGTGTGCCACAACTAGAGAAGCCCGCAGCCAAAAATAAATTAATTAATTAAAGAAACAGAAAAACATCCAGGAGTGGAATCAAAAATAACAAGAGTGATAAAGGAAAGAGCAGATCCAGATAAAATTGGTAGTGTCAGGGGGGAGTGAAAGCAGAGCCAGGAAATCCCAGAAAGAAAGCTGCCACACTTGATCCCTGTATTCTAACAGAAGAGGAAGCTCTGAAGTTAGGAGAGAAATATTGGAAATGCAGGAAAACAAATTTTGCATGAAAATGAGCAACTGAAAATCATCAAAGTCAAGTTCCCTACAAAAGTTACAAGAAAAAGAGAATCAGGGAGGGAATGCTATCCTATAGACAGGTAAAGAATCAAGCATGTATCTTGCCTTCTCCTTATGAATTGAACTGCTGAGTAACCAAATAATACATGTGGGGAGGTGCCTCATTATAAAAGTAATCCAACTAATAAATGAAAAAGAAATGACAATTTTACAAACTGGGTGAATCAATCATCTAAGCAACGAATATCAGTACTGTTAACATCACAAAAAGAGGGACAACCAGACATGATGCGCATTCAGATCAAACCTGAGTGTGATGAAACTCAGAATCCAGTTGCCAATTTGCAGAAAGTACAGAGGACAGAAGAACATGGTGAACTATACCATGAATGTACACTTAGCAAAACCAGGCTCCAGGAAGCTATGGGTCAAATGGCCCAGGATCTTCAACTGTAAAGGGGAAAAAAAGAGGAACCTGTAGATTAAAACACCTAAAGGCAGTGCCAGAAAATTGGCTCGACCCGTCCATTGCTATGCCCTTCAGCTCCAATGTATTCAACCACAGATAACTCTATGCAAAATGATTTGAAGTTCCAGGGTCTTGAATTCTATGTTCAAGTGCACAATTCTGGGACAATCTTGTAAATTAAAATTTTAAGACTTAAAAAAATCACTTATGTTTTGTTTGAACATTTAAATTTAATGTATTTGTTTTTGATTATTAATTCAGTCACAGAACAGTTATCTTGTGGAGCTGAATGTATCAGGTTTGCAAATATAAAATCACCCAAAGAAAGAGGCTTTTCAACTAATCTTTTATTTTTTTCAATTCAAATGCTATGTAAATATGTCACCCGTACCCTTCTTTTTAAGTCCTGCATTTCTGATAGGTTTATATCCAGAATGAACAGTTACACCTTTCATAAGCTGTAATTCCTTAAGTGCTTTGATCATTATTTCAGGTCCTGTCAGTATCTTCTGGAGCCAGAAGAGGGCACTGCAGAGCAGTGTAGCTGGTGCTGTCGGCTGAAAGAACTGCGCAAAGCTTTACTAAAGAAATAGGAGAACTAGATAGTCACTACAGGCCTTCTTTATTTACCAGCAGAAAGAACAGTTTCTAAATACATATCAAGGCTATCAAATACAGGTAGGTAGGTAGATAGATTAGGTAGATAGATAGCTATAGATATCTCCTTTCTTCTTTCAAGAATATCCCAAACCTGAATTGAAGTTATTCTATTATGGTGTTTATTCTTCTGCTTATTCTGTTGTTAGTTACAAAAGCAATTTTCAAGGACTCCTTGGTACAGATTAATAGCATATTCTGTTTTGCCTGGTTCAAGTTTAGGACAAAGGAGATTTGGAAGCCCTTTAGAAACCATGTGCAGTGCAAGAAGTAATTTGGAAACAATACAACACATGTTGTCCCCAGTGTCCACAAAGGTTTTTCCCAACGTGAAGAACACTGTTTTAAGTGTCAGCTGCCCAATTACAGGGGCAGAAGCCGGGTGATTGAGTTCAGACCATCTCCTTACACTAGGGGAAAGATGGCTAAGGCCTGTCTTTGTCCTTTGAAGATGAAGCAAGAGTAGGATCCACAGTTCTCTCCTGAAACTTGCCTTCCCGGGGCCTCTGTAGCCTGGGCCCTTTCATAACTGGTGAGCACTTTCAGCTGAGTCTTCTATCTCCAAAGTGATTCTAAACAATGTTCCTCAGGAGATGTGCTGTCACCTCGGGGAGGTTCAATCAACGCACAAAGTCACTCGTCAGCAGAGGAGAGAAGATGTAAGAAAGTTTCATGATTCGATCATGGTAAACAGCCTTTTGTGTGTTACCCTGAAAATATAATTTCAAAAAGAAAAAAATGACTTCCATTCTAGTTTCCTTATCTATACATTAATTTATTCTCCCAAGAGTTCTAGTGAGTAATGAAACCAGCTCAGTTTTTCATTATTGGAAACAAAAGAGTGTACCACCTCTCCTCACGTGAGGGAAATTGCCAGTGTGTGCAGTGATCCTTCCCTTCATTACAGATTTGCTGTGAAATAGGAAAGTTCTCTTGCTAGTGATGATGCTATGTAGGTTGTCAGCTGTGGTGTGATGACCAGCACTTTCCCAGCTCTGGCAGTATGGCCACATGGGTTGACACTATAGCATTCATTTATAGGTTTGTTTGCAGATTGGAGCTCTGTGACTTTGTACCTCAAGTTACCCATCTCTTGTTCAAGAGAAACTGGATGTTCTATTTTTTCTGAATACGGAGTTATTCTGTCTCCTGCTTGATTTTCCTCCCTCAACTTTGTTTGAAAGTGTTTCCTCCATTCTCCTTGCTTAAAGGACCGCCTAGCTCAGCACTTGCACAGGTAGTTTGCACCAAGTTAATCTGCCCTGTGCACATTTCCAGCTTTAGTCCTTCACCCACTGCTTCCTTCGCTTGTAGAAATCTTAACTATCCTTCAAGGCCCAATACGACTTCTTCAATCAAGTCTTTGCTAACTATTTGAGACACACCTAGCTCTCCCCGACCCAGAGCCCTGCAGCCCCCCTTATCTTTTCTATGGTGCATAGCACCTAGCATTTTACTCGCTACTGTACCCTGCTTTTTACTGATAATCTCATGACTCTCCAATAGTCACTAAAATCATACTAAGTGCTCAGGAAATCTAGTCTAATCTATTGATCAAAATGAATGGGACATTGTCTAAGTACCTGAGGTCTGCAGCTACACTTCCTAGTTATTGAATCTTCCCAGGCTGGTGTTGTCTCTCTTCTTTCTCTGCCCTTTTCCTGCCCACCCTGGATCCCTGTACACCTGTCACCAATCTTCTGTAACTATCAAGCAGTACAGAGCTGAGTCTGTGGAGTGTATCTTCTGGTTTGTAGCCAGCCTCCAGGATTTTTATTTCTTAGTCCTTTTTCCTGGGTTAATTTCATCGTCGCCAAGGAGGAAGAAACCTTGAAAGTTTGTCTCATTTGTCTCTATGTCTATAGGCAAAACAGTTCTTAAACTCATCATTCAGATTAGTATTGGGTCCCAGAATCAGATGTAATGTGGATTAGACAATATTTTACTAAACGACGGCAATAAGGGTCCAGTAGTCATTGCAACATTAAATTCTTTGGAAACTGAAAACCCTATTCGGATGTAAGGAGACATTACTACCAACAAGCATAGCCAGCGTGTCGCCCCCAAAGCTGTGACACGTGGCCTCACAAGCTCGTTTACAGTTCTATTCAAATAAAAGTAAAGATAGAAATTAAAATTAAACGATAGAATCAATCATGATGAAAAAAATTCATGTGTATTGTTTTCATAGTGTTTTGTTTTGTGTGTGTAATGATTTGTCAGTATATTTCCCCTTTACACTCTTTTTTTTATTTTTAACATTTTTATTGGAGTATAATTGCTTTACAGTGGTGTGTTAGTTTCTGCTTTATAACAAAGTGAATCAGCTATACATATACGTATATCCCCATATCTCCTCCCTCTCCCCTTTACATTCTGAAACTAAAGTCACACTCATGATTTTACAGCTTCGCAAGTCTGTCTTCAGCATCAGGGCGAGGAACCTTCTAGAAAAGGAGACCGCAGTCACTAAAATTTTAAGGTAACATCGTTTAACACTGATACATATTTAAATACAAATAGGATTAAGTTAAGCAAAAAGGAGCTTTTTTTAAAATAATGAAGTAATTTTCTGAGTATCAATATATACTTTCTGCTACAGAGTAGGTTTGGGTAACTATGTACTTAAAAATAATGTCAAACACATCATTAACGTCTCTCCTGAAAAAGTAATGTTTTATTAGTGCAATCAGCCATTTTTTCTCTTTCATGCGCTTTAACATAAATTATAAGTATAAACATTTACAGAAAGATGAAAATAACTTTTATTTTTACAGATTTTGTCCTTTGTGATCTCTGAAGGACAAATCACAATCTAAGGGAAATATGGTAAAAGGGAAAGCTTTTTAATTATTAAAAATAAATGTATTTAAAATCTATAAGAATCAAAAGCATATCCATTTTAGAATGCTTATAAAATAAGCATAAGCACATAATTTTAATGCTGCTTTCTAAAATCTGCCTTGAAGTGTCAGAAAGGAAAATTAAGCTAGCTACTTAAGGGTATTTTATAAGACTATGTTTTATAAGACTATGTTTTATAAGACTGTGTTTTATAAGACTATGTTTTAATATAAAGTAACATGACCATTATAAAAATGCATAAGTATTTGGAATATAATTTATTCGTTCCTGTATTACATAGACATGTATAAGAAATACACCTAAATATTGGAGCTGGAGGTGGAATGGCTGACAAGGTTAATAGATAAATTCGTAGTAGGAAGCCCTGTCCAAACTGTGCTAAAGGGAAGGAGTTTGATCCTCTTCTACTCCACCTGAGTTATTAAGAGTAGTCATGGAAGCATTTTGCGAGAATTTCTATCACTATAACTTGGATAACTGGAATGAGGAAATAAGGCTAATAGATATGATTTGAGAAACTATTTTGACTTTGTAACACTACCTGAAATTTGTATGCTAGACACAATCCTAACTCATCGAGACAGAATTCTGTGTATTTATTCTTTATGTTGGCTGACGATTCATGCATACAGTTGAGTGTGTGTTGGAGTCCCTTCTATGAGACGAGAATAAATATTTCTGGGGCTTAGATATTATCACCGAAGAATATGATGAGATGAAACTGAAAGGTCTCATTGAAATAGAGAAAGGAGAGCTTCTAAGCAAATATAACCACCTGTGAACCAACTTCAGTTTGCTTCCAACTGGCTCAATCCTGGCGTTACCATCAGATAACACCACGAGTCTGGCCTCAAACACTACGTGGTCCTCCAGGTTCTTTATCCAGCTGGAATTGTACTAGACACGTTAATGGCACAGTCAGTCCCTAGGGTCTTGAAGACTCTCCCTGCTCACACAAAACAGGTCATGAGCTGGGTGCTGGATTTCTGGTTCACCCCCAGGACCCAGAAACCACCCACGAGGAGATCCTAATATCCAGAATCTACCTGCCAGATTAGGAATCAAGTGACCTTACTGACCTGCCCAGAATACGTTTCCAGAAGGTGCCCTAGAGGTTCCCAGAGACCTTCAGAGCAGAGGCAGACAGGGACCCTTGGAAGGAGGTGACCCCCATACACCCCCGTTCCTGTGAACTCTTTCTTAAACTTGCCCTTCCACTTTCCCTCTTCCACCACCTTTCCTACCCACCTTCTCCCAGTTTACAAAAGAAAGGTGGTGCTCCCATCCACCCAAAAGAAAGGTGAAGCTCTAGGGTGCACTGGTCTGAGATGTCCAGTCCTCTGGGTGGCCGAACACAGGGGCTGTTCCCACATGGCTTTCCCAGAACGAGGGCCCCATCGGCAGCATGTTATTGTCCATCCAACCGACAGATTTTTGGAAAACTTCCTTCCAAGACTTCATCTGCCTTAGAGTTAGGCCTTAGCAATACATGGATGTCACAGGGACCTGTGTTAACATGTTATTTGAATTGAAAAATAACGATCAGACTTCTGACAGATTCGCTGATTGGTTTGGCAATAAAAACTCACTTCGTACCCACGAAGGGTCATAACATTGAATGGACTGGATGGATGAGACGCCCCAGTATTTTCCCCAAGTTATATTAAAGCACATATACAATAATGCTAGAAAATACATCCTTTACTGCTAATTGACATTATGCGTGGAACATTTAGTTGTTGATTTTTAAAAGTACAGAAGTGGTTTTAAAAAGAGAAAATTTATGAGTACCTGAGCAGAAACAACAACTAAAAAAGAAAAAAAAAAAAAGAGAAGAGAAATTAAAAAGAAAAGGAAAACATTTACAGTCACCTGGGGCCAATGGTTCAAATAGCCCTACACAAATTGGAGAGGAAGGAAGGTTTCCAGCACTCTCCCAGGGTCTCTGGGCTCCCACCGACCCTCTCCTCCCCCAGGCCTCCCCCTTCTCTCTGTTAAGGAAGTTCTGCCAGGTGACTTAGAAGCGGAAAGACAAATACTATATGATGTCACTTACACGTGGAATCTAAAAACAAAGTCAAACAGCAAGAAACAGAGAGGAGATTGGGGATTGCCAGAGGCTGGGAGGTAGGAGAGATGAGGGGATGTTGGTCAAAGGATACACGTTTCCAGTTTTAAGTTCTGGAGATCTAATGTCCAGCATGGTGACTGAAGTTAATAATATTGGATTGTACACTTAAAATTTGCTAAGAGAGTAGATCTTGTGTGCTCACCACATACACACACACACACACACACACACACACACACAC